ATACACTAAATTGACGTTCTCTCATTCTATTGTCCTGACTCACTTCAACCTTGGATATAAGAATTTGGCAATTCTTATTGACAGTCGATTGAGACAGGTCGCTGCTGATGTGATTTATTTTATCTAAAAACTATAGATGCTACCAAAGACTGGAAATCCTCTAGTAAGCGAAGGAATTTGGCTATTTTCATATGAGCAATTGGATCCAGGGGAACATAGCGGGAACTTTATTCCAGCTGTATAGAAAACAAAATGGGGGGATGTTGATTAGACTCTGAGGACTCTCTCTCTCTCTTTCTCTCTCTCTCTCTCTCTCTCTCTATATATATATATATATGTATTCAACATTTGGAAGAAAGAAGCACCCAGAATTAAGACTGCGTAGATAGACTGTATTCGCTATTTTTCAATTGTAAGAAAATAATTTTTTTTAAAGAATTCATGGTAACTTGTCGGAAAACAATTTCGTGATGTATAAAATGGTAGTAAATTGCTTTTCTAACAGCGTGGAATCACCGGATACTTTTTACACGCATTTTGAATCAAGTGGCTATGTTTTGAGGATAAATCAATTGGAAGCATGTGAAACATGGGACTTTCTTTCTAAAGATGTCACTTGTTTCCTACAGACTCTTTAAGTGATTCGTGATTTCGATTAATTTGACACACATGAGTTTATCAACGTGTATCTCCGTGAATCTATCTATCCCAGACGCATCGGCGAGGGGTAATTGTTCGTAAAAAAAATTTGCAATGCATTTTTCATAGTAAGAGTCATTTGCAATGCATTTTTATAGTGTTATCATAGTGGCAAGAGGTAATGGCTAGCGAGTCTGGTTGGCTATTATTCTTGAGTAGAGAGTTTGTTCCACACTGAGTGCTCCATACAAAATTAAACATAAAATAATCCAACAAGTGTAGACATATACAATTAACCAACCTAACCTAACCTAACCTAATCTATCTATCTATCTATCTCTATCTATCTATCTATCTATCTATTCTAATCAGTTATGGTCATAGTGGCATTTATCTGTTGGTATAACATAGCTTCCCTGTGCCATTTCTATCTGCACTGTTATCGGTCCAGACCTGGCATATCGGTTTCAGCCACTTTCCCCCTACTGTAATGTAGCGCCCCTGGTTTTTTTTCTAAAAACCATTTTCCTGGCAATTGTTCTGACGAGCTTTGTTCTTTGGTACTTCGACTTTATGAATTTAAACGCAGTACTAGATTGGCAATTAGGTCTCATTATCTTCCAGTTGAAATGGCAAGATGTAACCGTACGTTCTATGCTTACAATTTCTTCTCTCGCACTTCTTGCCCGTGGAACACTTACCAGCCTCTTGCTTTCAAGTCAACTTTGATCTTCAAAAATTTAAATGGAATATTAATCGTTATCTTCTGTCTTCTTAATTCCTGTCCTTTTATTGTATTCTCTACTGTTTTTAATTTATTTTTTCATATTTTTTCACACTCAAATTACTCTTTGAGTCGTAGTGGTTTTATTGCCTTGATTGGGGCGAAACGATTAAAAAAATGGCGAACAAACCCATTGTCTACATTCCATACTGCTGATATATTTTCTTTTCTCTTTAATATGTTCTCCTCCTCCTTTCTTTTCCCACTCATTTCTCACTTGCATTACTTACAATATTCGGACTGTTATCCTCATCTTCATTGCCATATTTATAACGTTTCGGCCGTCGTACGCTCCGGCATTCTTCAGGTGATTAGAATTTCGAAACGAACCATTTATTTCATACACCGGGTTAGATTGTACTAGTTCCACGTGCCATGCCTCTTCCGGATGTCTCAGTTATTTCCCTTTAGCTCAATTCTTCAGGTTTTGGTTTACCACAGCTGTGGTCTGGTATTGAACTCACAAATCTTTGGGTCAAGTCACTGGATCTAACCGACGCCTTTATCCATTTGGCCATGTGACCTCAAGGACTGACTGAGACCGGAAGAGGCATGGCACGTGAAACTAGAAGAACCTAAAAGTCTCACGAAAAGCTGTTACGAATTTCAAACCGTCTGACATTCCTACCTCGATGCAGAGACCTACGACTTATTCCTTCAGGCTTGGCACCAAGACTCCCCGTCAATTCAAGGAGAGCTTCTCTGATCGGAAAGAAAGCGGGACACGCCCTTGTCCGCGAGAGAATCTAGTACAACCGTTGGATAAATCAGAAAATACAATCTAATATTTCCCAGAGACTCGAGGCTTTCTTCAACAAAATTACCGACGAAGAAGACCGAAATAGGATCCATTACGACCTGGATAAATCCTACAGACATGAATTCGATGCAGTCAAGGCCAACCAAGATAAAAAAAAAAAAAATGAAGAAGGCCGGAGCGTACTACGATCGAAACGTTGTAAATATAGCAATGAAGGCGAGGATAACAGTCCGAATAATGTAGATAATGCAAGTAATCATAATACCTCATCTCAGAGATATAGACAGATATTGTTCAGTTATGTTACGTTGTGAATATGGCAATGAAGATGAGGATAACAGTCCGAATAATGTAAATAATGCAAGTAATCATAATATCTCATCTCAGAGATATAGACAGATATTAATCAATATTTTCTCTTTTTAATTACTGTCCCTTTAGTGTAGTCTCTTCTTAATAATTTTTTTTTTATATTTTTTCATACTCAGTTCCCCCTTTGCGTCTTAGTGGCTTTATTGCCTTGCTTAGGGCGAAATGATTAAAAAAAAAATGGCGAATAAACTCATTGTCTACGTTCCATACTGGTGATATATTTTCTTTTCTCTTTAATATGTCCCCCTGCTCCTTTTTTTTCTCACTCTTTCTACATTCATCTCCATTCACTTTAAAGTATATTTCATTTTAGACAATTCACCTCTTATCTCTACACAAACGTAAGAAACACACATTTCCTTCCTAATTATACAAACATCACGTCAGTAATTTCCACCGCGAGGGGAGATGGGCGGTGGAGATGTCAAACTCACCAACAGTTCTAAGGGGCCGTTAACGTATTTCATACTAATATGTCTACTTAATGCAGCTCTGCAACGTAGGAGGCCGAAATATGGAAACCATTGCTGCCAGGAAGAAAGATATTTGATGGGGATGGGGGTTGGCCGTAAAGAGATGTTAATAAGGTGTCCGTTCCCAATTGCTGGTGTTTTTAATAATATAGAAGGCCTATAGGGTGTACGATGACGGTCGTCTCCTGAGCATTTAGACACCACTTCCTTTGCAACTTGAGATTGAGGAAAAGATTGATCGGAAGTTGCTTATGTATGTATGTATGCATGTTAAGAAGTTTTATCTATCTATCTATCTATCTATCTATCTATCTATCTATCTATCTATCTAAGCCTATTCATATGTAATTATGTAGCTATCTATCTCAACCTGTTAACATCTATCTATCTATCTATCTATCTATCTATCTATCTATCTATCTATCTATCTCCGTCAGTTCATTATCTATCTATCTATCTATCTATCTATCTATCTATCTATCTATCTATCTATCTATCTAAGCCTATTCACATGTAATTATGTAGCTATCTATCTCAACCTGTTAACATCTATCTATCTATCTATCTATCTATCTATCTATCTATCTATCTATCTATCTATCTATCTCCGTCACTTCATTATCTATCTATCTATCTAAGCCTATTCATATGTAATTATGTAGCTAGCTATCTCAACCTGTTAACATCTATCTATCTATCTATCTATCTATCTATCTATCTATCTATCTATCTATCTATCTATCTCCGTCAGTTCATTATCTATCTATCCAAGCCTATTCATATGTAATTATGCAGCTATCTATCTCATGTCAACCTGTTAACATCTATCTATCTATCTATCTATCTATCTATCTATCTATCTATCTATCTATCTATCTCCGTCAGTTCATTATCTATCTATCCAAGCCTATTCATATGTAATTATGCAGCTATCTATCTCAACCTGTTAACATCTATCTATCTATCTATCTATCTATCTATCTATCTATCTATCTATCTATCTATCTATCTATCTATCTATCTATTTTAAGCCATTTTTATGTTTATACGTCATTTTTTTTGTAGATACAAATATTTTTTTGTAGATACAAATATTTAATTGAATCCTGTTTATAATAAACAGTATTTTAAACTACAATTCTCCATAATCTTTACTCGTACATTCATATCTGCTCGATGCGTATCCAAATGTAAACGAATGATGTCACACATTATGAAATGGACTGACAATTATTTTAAAACTTTTTTTATGTTTATAAGTTCTATAAAAAAAAGAACGTATAAATATAAAAATGTCTTAAAATAATTGTCGGACTTTGTCCATTTCATAATGTGTGACTATCTATCTATCTATCTATCTATCTATCTATCTATCTATCTATCTATGTCAGTCTCTTCATATCTATCCCAGTCTCTTCATATCTATCTATCTATCTATCTATCTATCTATCTATCTATCTATCTATCTATGTCAGTCTCTTCATATCTATCTATCTATCTATCTATCTATCTATCTATCTATCTATCTATCTATCTATCTCAGTCTCTTCATATCTATCCCAGTCTCTTCATATCTATCTATCTATCTATCTATCTATCTATCTATCTATCTATCTATCTATGTCAGTCTCTTCATATATCTATATCTATCTATCTATCTATCTATCTATCTATCTATCTATCTATCTATCTATATATCTATCTATCTATCTATCTATCTATCTATGTCAGTCTCTTCATATCTATCTATCTATCTATCTATCTATTTTAAGCCATTTTTTATGTTTATACGTTCTTTTTTTTGTAGATACAAATATTTAATTAAATCCTCTGTTTATAATAAACAGTATTTTAAACTACAACTCTCCATAATCTTTACTCGTAAATTCATATCTGCTCGATGCGTATCCAAATGTAAACGAATGACGTCACACATTATGAAATGGACTGACAATTATTTTAAAACTTTTTTATGTTTATACGTTCTATAAAAGAAAGAACGTATAAACATAAAAAATGTTTTAAAATAATTGTCGGACTTTGTCCATTTCATAATGTGTTTCTATCTATCTATCTATCTATCTATCTATCTATCTATCTATCTATCTATCTCAGTCTCTTCATATTTATCTATCTATTACAGTCTCTTCATATCTATCTATCTATCTATCTATCTATCTATCTATCTATCTATCTATCTATGACTGTCTTTTCATATCTATCTATCTATCTATCTATCTATCTATCTATCTATCTATCTATCTATCTCAGTCTCTTCATATCTATCTATCTATCTATCTCAGTCTCGTCATAGCTATCTATCTATTACTGTCTCTTCATATCTATCTATTTATCTATGACTGTCTTTTCATATCTATTTTTCATATCTATCTATCTATCTATCTATCTATCTATCTATCTATCTACCTATCTATCTCATTCTCTTCATATCTATCAGTTTCTTCGTATCTATCTATCTATCTATCTATCTATCTATTTCACTCTCTTCATATCTCTCAGTTTCTTCGTATCTATCTATCTATCTATCTATCTATCTATCTATCTATCTATCTATTTCACTCTCTTCATATCTATCAGTTTCTTCGTATCTATCTATCTATCTATCTATCTATCTATCTATCTATCTATCTATCTATCTCAGCCACTTCATATCTATCTATCTATGAATCCACCCATTCTCCCAGCTATGAGATAATTTGTAAGATTTTTACCACTAAATCATTGTTATCTTCTGCCTTTAAATTTCCTTTTGCAGGTTATATAAATTGAGGGATCACTCTACATATTGAGTGTAATGCAGAATTTATCCCCCACTTTATATCCACATTATAATTTATTGTTTGATGATAAGCCGTAGAAAACAAATCAATCAAATGCTGATTAGCTACCCAGGCATATCTTTTAGATTTATTTACATTCTCTAGAATATAAATGTATAGAAACTAGAGTGGCCACAAATTGAGGTATCACTTTACATTTTGATTGTAATGCAGAATTGATCCCCTACTTATATCCACATTATAATATCTTTTTTTTAATTTCCAAAATGTCTTACAATCTGAAAATGTATTCTGGCTTTAAATAACCTGTTGATAAGCCGTAGAAAACCAATCAATCAATCAATGAAATACTGATTAGCTACATAGCCGTGTTGTTTAGATTTATTTATATTCTCTAGAATATAAATGCATAAAAACTACAGCGACTACAAAGAGAGGGATCCATCCATATAGAGACTGTAATATGGAATTGATCTCCCACTTCATATCCACATTATAATTTCTTGTTTGCTTATGAAATTCTGATTAGGTATGAATTCACCCCTTCTTCCCTAGCTATGGGTTAATTAGTAATCCTTTTCGTCTTAAGGTTCTCGAAAAAATCCAGAGACGGATATGCAATGTGATTGACCCTGACCTGGCATCTCGTTTACAGTCGCTCTCTCACAGACGTGCCGCCGCTTCCATCTGTCTTTTCTACAAATACTTTCACAGTAACTGCTCCGATGAGCTATTTTCGCTAGTTCTCAGACTGCATGAATTTAAGCGTACTACTAGGTTGGCATCTCAGTCCCACCCTTTCACTGTCGAAACTGTTAAATGTAGCCGTCTCTTCTACTCCAATAGCTTCATGTCTCGCACTTCCCGTCTGGGGAACTCCCTTCCTCTTACTTGCTTCCCTGATAGCTATAATCTCCAAATATTCAAATGCAATGTCAATCGACATTTCCAGATGCCTTGATCTATTCCCTGTCCTTCTCTTCATCCTTTCCTTTATCACCCCATTTTATTCTTGCTCCCACTTTCGCTTTCCATGCTAGTGGCACTCCCGTCTTGCTTGGGGTGAAATGCTTAAAAAAAAATCAAATAAAATTTTAGCTAAGTAGCTCTGTAAGCTACGGACTTATTGATGAAACCTTGTTGGCTCCTTCTCTGTGCTCTGCATCTGTAAGATCGGTTTTTCTATCTGTCTCGGACATGAGACAGAACCTGGGAAGATCAGGTTGGTCTTTTTTAGCCCGTATTTCTATCATGTAAAATAGTTTAAAAAAAAAGCACTTACCGCTCTGACGTAAAAATAGCCAAAATCTGTAAAAGATGCAAAAAAGCAATGCATTATGGGACATGGACGCAAAAGATGCAAAATGGGATCTGGGAAGAATTCTGAACAACTATAAAACAACTACTTTTTTCCAAAAAGACGGTTGCTAGAAAAAGATTTGCAAAAGAGGAACGACTCAAGTTTGAAATCTTGAATTTACTCGCTGGTTACTGTTTTATAAAAGATGCAAAAGCTGCAAATTGTTAAGATAGAAAAAAGTAAAAGATGTAAAAAAATCTGCATACGCGACTGAAAATTTAATGCGTTCGACCAAAATCTTTGAAAGATGTAACATCTGTAAAATAAAAAAAGTCTCAAAAGCTCTAAAAGATACAAAAAATATGTAAAGTTGGGCAAGAGATTAAATTTTAAAAGATGCAAAAGTTGTAAAAGATGTATCAGTTACAACAATCATAAAATATGTAAAAATTAAAAAAAGCTGTAAAACATGTAAAATGTGTAAAACATGCAATAGATGTAAAAGAGATAAAAGATGCAAAAGATGTAAAAGATGCAAAAACTGTAAGATAGAAAAAAATAAAAAGATGTAAAAGAGTAAAATCTATGAAAGATGTTATATCTGTAAAATAAAAAAGTCTCGAAAACTGTAAAAGATACAAAAAAAAAAAAAATGAAAAAGTTGCACAAGAGAAAAAATTTCAAAAGATGCAAAAGTTGTAAAATACAAGAGATGAAAAAGCTATACCTGAAAGAAGGCCATGAGATGTGAGACACTTAATTAATTCCAAGTTGATTAAAGCCTCAAGAATTTTGCCAAAACAGAGGTAAAAGACTAATTGGACGGTAATTCGAGGAACCAGAATGGTTACCAGAGTTCTTAAAGATAGAAACTATAGGGGAGGATTTTTAACAAGCTGAAAAGCAAGAAGCAGCGAGGCATTTATTGTAGATTTTGAAGACAACAGGAGTCAGTTCAGGAGCATATTTCCTTATGACAATTGCAGGGATATCGCCAAATCCTTGTGGGTATCTAGTTTGGAGATGATAGCAGAAACCATGGACGGAATTATATGCCTTGTCACTCAGTAGAGATTCCATTCTAGACGGGAAATTAGGCACAAAGAGACGAGAGTGGAGTTGGAAGCGAATTTTCGAGCCAAGCATTCTGCTTTATCAGTAGATAAGTTGATAACTACTACAAACTGATTGAAGAGAACTGGGACTGAGGATTTACTCTTGCTCAACACACTCTTACAGAGCTGCAATGAATTTCTAAAACCAAACGTGTGAGAGGCTATACGGGGGTCTCATTCTATCAGCGAATAACGACTTCGCCTCGTTGAGGATACGCTTACACTCATTACGAGCGGATCCAAAGAGGCGCCTGCTATATGATCCGAACTGTCACGTTGGTATAGCCGGAAAAGTGATTCCTGTGGGCTATAGCAGCTGACCATGCAAGAGTGAACCAAAAAGAAGATTGCAGTTTCATTTGGTATTTATGTGTTGACACGAAGGCTCCGATACCAGCTCTCACCCAGAAACCTCAGTGGACCAATTTTCAACGGGAGGTTAAAAATTGAATTCCATATAACATCGCGAAGAAAATCACGAAGTAATTACCAATCACTGCGTTCATAAAAAATATCTCTTTTTTTGGTTAATGTTTACTCAATGCAAGGCCCAAGAGCCACTCAAGGTAGTGGGTTACTTTGTGGAGTTATATTAACGCAGGAAATGAAAAGCGTTAGAAGTATAGCACTGAAGTAGACTTTACAAGGAACCGGAAGCACAATCTTCAACAGGAAACAGGGGCTAAACCTCTTCTATTCCAAAGGCCTGGGAGGTGTGTGAACCGGACGATAGATGAACCTATCTACTTTTATGGAAGGAAGAAATAGCAAATAGAATTTCAGAGTTCAGACGAAGACGTTAGAAGTATAAAAGTGAAGTAGACTTTGGAAGGAACAGGGAATTCAATCCTAAACAGGAAACAAGGGATAAACCCCTACTCCTGTTCAAGCAATATGTGGAAAGGACGATTTTATGTTATTTTTTTTTACCAAGGGTGCAATCGGTTCCTCGTATTCGCGGATTTAGCATCTACAGATTCAATCAACCACGGATCGAAATAAGACTTAGTTTTTTTATTGCAAACTTAATTCTGTTTGTTAGGCAGTTCTGCTATTTATTTACATTTAACCATGGCCACTCAATCTACAAGGATAAATAAAACTTCAGTTTAGATGTAGACTTTAGAAGTATAGAGTTGAAGTAGCCTTTAGAAGGAACCGAAAACCCAATCCTAAACAGGAAACAAGTCATAAAACTCTGTTCCTGTTTAAAAGACCGGGGAGGGGTGTGAAATGGATGATAGGCAAACTTATCTACTACTGTTAATAAGAGACTCTTGTCTAATAGACGAGTGGAAAGAAAGATCTACAGACACTACCGTGTGGTCAGAGTTACCAAGAGGGCAAAGCTGTAAAGCAGATGAGTCTGGAGAAGAAGCAAGGAATAAACTAAGACGTTATAAATAATAATAATAATCGAATTAAATCAAACCATACATCCTCATACTAGATTGGCGGGAAGGTCTCGTCATATTACAGTTGAAATAGATATAACCGTATGTTAACCGTTTCTTCTCTTGCACTTCTCGCTTCTGGAAATCTGTTCAATCGTTATCTTCTGTCTTCTTAATTCCAGTTCTTTTATTGTCTTCTCTCATTAATAGTAGTTTTTCTCATATTCTGTAGCACTCAGTAACCCCTTGCATCCCTAGTGGCTTTATTGCCTTTGATCTTCAAAAATTTAAATATAATGTCAGTCGCTATCTTCTGTCTTCTTAATTCTTATCAATTTATTCTTCTTTCCTTAATGGTCTTTTTTTTTATTTTTTAACATTCAGTAACCCCTATCTACGTCTGTTCATCTCTCTCTCTTCCACTCTCTCTCTTTCTCTCTATCTCATTCTGTTCATTATCTATCTATCTATCTATCTATCTATCTATCTATCTATCTATCTATCTATTTCCGTCTGTTCATCTCTCTCTCTCTCTCTCTTCCTCTCTTTCTCTATCTAATTCTGTTCATTATCTATCATCTATCTATCTGTTACACTTTACCATTTTCAATTATTCTGTCGGAAAACGTCGATCTGCTTTTGAACAGATCAATCTGTGTATATATATATATATATATATATATATATATATATATATATATATACACTTCACACTTTAGCCTGCCCCATTCTTTATCTTGTATCTTTGGAGAAAATGTCCATCTTTATTTACCTACATAAGTCTATTTGCTAATATGAAAAATAAATGTGAAACTCTAAGTGGCTACTATTTTCTCACTGGCAAAAACCCATTTATTCTAAAACCACACACGCGCGCGCGCGCACACACACACACACACGCAGAAAGACACACACACGCAGAAAGACACACACACACACACACACACACACACACACAAACTACTATGCAAATTATTTGGATATACATGTTTCCATTCGTTTTCTCAAAGGCAGAAAAACTGATTTTATAGTGGAAATATTTCAAGATATATCAGCGATTTACAGAAAACGATGCCACTTTTGATAGCTGAACATATTGGTCGCTCTGTTCAGATCCTCCAAAGACTTTGGTAGCACGAATTGGGAGTGGTGGAGTGAACTTTTAATTGGCTATGTCAGCACAAATGTCGTGGAGGCTACACTGCTAACTATCTCCGCTCAATTTCGAGCCGAAGATTTTGGTTTGGGACGAGTGTGGGCTGGGGGCTGTGAATTATGAAATTTTCTATTTAAAGCTGGAAGAGTTCAAGTTAAAAAAAAAGAAGATTCTGTTTGCCCAGCTAGTGGCAGTCCACCTCTGTTCAGCGCTAACTTTTGGGATATCCTATCTGAAATTATTTGCTCTCACCATTTTCAAAAAAGTATCGTAGAAGGCATACATCTCAACGTTGTAGCACATGAATAAGCCAAAGTTATTTCTTCATTTTTCGATCACGCCACTTATTCTGCACCGTTCCATAAGGGCCACCCGAGAAGCGGCACCTAAAACCCAACTAAAGTGCTGGTCCAAGACGCAATTCTATACACAGTCTACCTTTCATAATATTGACCCGATAAACTAAAGGAACACTTCTCTGTTTTTATATATATATATATATATATATATATATATATATATAGACCAAAAGCCTTGCTTATTATTTGAATTTTCAATGTTAAACTTTATCAAACAGAATATACCAATCACGACATTTTTTACAATGTGAAAAACGAAAAAATGAATGAACGAATGAAAAATTAAGATAACTAGGGCGAAAACAGAATAAAAAACAATAAACAAAATATTGTGAGGAAAAAGATAAAAGAAAAGCAAAAGCAAGAACAAAAAGTATAGAAAAAGAAAAGAAATAAGAAAAAATAAAATAAAACTAAACAGAAAGATAATGAAAGTATAAAGAACCAGAAAAGTAAAAACAATTAAGAATAAGAAAAAGGAAAAGAAAAAAGAAAAGAAAAAAAGAAAAGAAAAAAGAAAAGAAAAAGAAAAAGGGAAAGAAAAAGAAAAAGAAAAAGAAAAAGAAAAGGAAAATAAAAAGAAAAGGAAAAAAAAAAGGAAAAGAAAAAGAAAAAGAAAAGGAAAATAAAAAGAAAAGGAAAAGGAAAAGAAAAAGAAAAAGAAAAAAGAAAGAAAAAAGAAAAAGAAAAATGAAAGGAAAAAGAAAAAGGAAAATAAAAAGAAAAGAAAAGAAAATTAAAAATTAAAATTCTTATTCTTTTTTGTTTTTACATTTCTTTTTCATTTACTTTCATTTTTCTTTTTCTTTTTTCTGTTTCTTTTCCTTTTTCCTTTTTCTTTTTTTCTTTTTTCTTTTCTTTTTCTTTTTACTTTTGCTTCTCTTTTTCTTCACAAAATATTTTGGTTATTGTTCGTTTTTTCATACTTCATTTGATTCTTCCTGTTTTTGTCGTAGTTATCTTAATTTTTCATTCATTTTTTCGTCTTTCACAAGTTATATTTTGTATTAATGTCATGAAAGTGTTCTTTCATGTTGGCAATTTTACTTTAAATAGGTATTGTTGGTAATTTTTTTATATAAAAGTATATTGCTGATATTTTTACTGTGAAAATATATTTTTATACTTTGATAGTGTTTTGGATTTTGTTGTGGGTGGGGGGGTTCACTATTTGCCCATAGCTTGTACCCTAAGTAGTTCTACCACCCCGGGTCAGATTGGAGCTGGGAACAACAGCAATTAAGATGTTGTTCCACGCACCTCAAAAAATCTATTCTTCTTGCTGCCGATTGTAGTTCATCGTCATACCCAGGACGAAAGGAAAATGATGAAATATACTTAGATTATTTACATTACCTGGACTGTTATCCTCATCTTTATTGGCATATCAAAATGTTTCGGCCTTCTTCAGGTGATTGGAATTTTGAACCAAGCCCTTTATTTCGTCCACCGGAGTAGATTGTTCTAGTTCCACATGCCATGCCTCTTCCGGACGTCTCAGTTATTTCCATTTAACTCAACAACAGTTTTTGCATTGGGCCAGTGGATAAAGACATTGGTTAGATCCAGTGACTAGACACAAAGCGTTGTGAGTTCAATACCAAGCCACAGTAGCGGTGAACCAAACTTGAGTTGAGTTAAAGGGAAATAACTGAGACATCAGGAAGAGACATGGCACGTGGAACTAGAACAACCTATCCTGGTGGACGGAATAAAGGATTCGTTTCGAAATTTTAATGACCTGAAGAAGGCCGGAGTGTACAACAGCCGAAACGTTGTGAATATGGCAATTAAGATGAGGATAACAGTCCGAATAATGTAAATAATATAAATAATCATAATACCTCATCTCAGAGATACAATCACCTGAAGAAGGCCGGAGCGTACAACGGTCGAAACTTTGTGAATATGTTAATGAAGATGAGGATAACAGTCCGAATAATGTAAATAATATAAGTAAACTTAATACCTCATCTCAGAGATCCAATCACTTGAAGGAGGCCGGAGCGTACAACGGCCGAAACGTTGTGAATATGGCAGTGAAGATGAGGATAACAGTCCGAATAATGTAAATAATATAAATAATGATAATACCTTATCTCGGAGATATAGACAGATATTGGACAGTTATGTTACGTTGTGAATATGGCAATGAAGATGAGGATAATAGTCCGAATAATGTAAATAATGCAAGTAATCATAATACCTCATCTCAGAAATCTAATCACCTGAAGAAGGCCGGAGCGTACAACGGCCGAAACGTTGAGAATATGGCAGTGAAGATGCGGATAACAGTTCGAATGATATAAATAATGTAAGTAAACATAATACCTCATCTCAGAGATATAGGCAGATATTGATGAAAAATAGAAGGAAGAAAGGCTTAGAAAGAATAAAGAACGAAAGAAGAAAGGAAGGAACGAACACGAAAACTGAAAATCCTGAACTTATCGCCGAAAAAGAACTTGAAAAAAAAAAAAAAGAAAGAAAAAATTTAAGAAAAAACGAAGGAAAATGATGATATAAATTTAAAGGTTTAGACAGGAAAAGAAGGAAGATGAGGAAAGTAGTTGAAATATTAAGTCAATATAAAAGCGATTGTCGAAGAAAGAGAAAAGTCATTGAAAAAAAACAAAAACGAAGGAAAAATGTTCGAAATAAAGGCTTTGAAACGGAACAAAAAAGAAGGAAAAAAAACGGTAAGAACTACTTGAAAAATTGAATCAAAATAAGAACAATCGCTGAAAGAAAGAGAAAGAGAAAAAAAAAAGATTGAAAAATGACGAAAACATGACCGTGCCTTGTTTCAGAAGACGTGAAACATTTCCTGGATAATAAGGTCGACTCTTTAGGGCTAGCTAACTTGTCGTGATCATGACCTGTCTGCCACCCAAACCACCATAACCGCTACCCATACCATATCCGAAAGTCCGCCAGCGTAGTTATATTACGCTGTAGGCAAGTAGGTGGTGAATGCGATTCTGGTTTGTGGAGCTCTGTCTGGGTGGTGCGGAGGGGTGCAGAAATCGTGTCTTGGCTTTCGGATCTCGCCAAAAGGACAAACTAGGAGAAAATGGAGCAGTCCCCAAACGACATAGCGGTAAAGCATGAACCAATCAAGTTCGATCGAGTCAAGTCCTGGTCGCTATAGCCCGTTTATTGGAACAGGAGGATTATGGACGAGCGGGTCTGGCGATTTTCCAATCAGACGATCGCGTCCCTTGGGATAGCATGTCAACATGAGGACGCACCCTGACGGGAATTCTGGCGCATTAGTAGAACATAGTGCAAGTCAATGAATCCTGATTATAAAGCCTAGAATTGGTCGAGGGTTAGACGTGTGAGTCCGGAAGAGTGTGGGTGGACACGAAGAAGTGAGTGGTGGCCAGACGAGGGTGAGAGATTGTAAAGAGAAACTGGAAGACAAGCGAAAGATATATAGAGAAAATGATTAAAAGAAAAAGAAGAAGGAAGAGCAAGAAGGACAATGGTTAAAAGGAGAGAAGAAGATGAAGAAAAAAGGAAAAAAGAAAAGGAAGAATAGAAAAGAATATTCTAAAGGGGAAGAAGAAAAAAGAAAAAAAGAAAAGGAAGAATAGAAAAGAATATTCTAAAGAGGAAGAAGAAAAAAGAAAAGGAAGAATAGAAAAGAATATTCTAAAGAGGAAGAAGAAAAAAGAAAAAAAGAAAAGGAAGAATAGAAAAGAATATTCTATAGAGGAAGAAGAAAAAAGAAAAAAAGAAAAAGAAGAATAGAAAAGAATATTCTGAAGAGAAAGAAGAAAAAGGAAAAGAAGAAAAAGAATAGAAAAGAATATTCTAAAGAGAAAGAAGAAAAAGGAAAAAAGAAAAAGAAGAATAGAAAAGAATTTTCTAAAGAGAAAGAAGAAAAAGAAAAAAAGGAAGAATAGAAAAGAATATATTCTGAAGAAAAAAAAGAAAATGAAAAAAAAGAAGAATTCAAGGAAAAGAAGAAAAATATTATTAACAAAGACGAAGAATGATTAAGTGAAAAAAGATTAGTGGAGAGAAGAGAATGAGGAAGAAAAATGATTTCAAAATAGAAGAAAAACCGTAGAAAAGTGATATATAAATATATGAAGCGAATAAAAGTTAGAGGAATTGAGGAGCGAAAAAAAGAAGGGGAACGTTGCAAAGAAAGAAAAAAAAATGAACGAGAAAGAGAAGAACAAGAAACATGATTAACGGAAAGAACGAAAAAAGAAAGAAAAAATAATAAGGAAAAGGAATCGAGGAAAGAAAAAGTAGAAGAAATATTAAAGGGAAAAAGAGAGGAAGAACGCTATAAGAAAGAAAAAAGGTTAGAGAAAAGGAAGATAGTGAAAAAGAAGAAAAATACGAAGAGGAAGAAAAGGAAAAAGAAAGCAAAAGGATTTGAAGAAGGAAGAAGTAACAGAGAAATGATTAACGGTGAAGAAGGAAATGAAAAATTATTAAAATAAATTAAGATAAGCAGGGAAAAGAAAAGAGAAAAAAGGGACGAAAAAGAATCGGGTAAAGAAGAAGAAGGTGAAATAGATAAAAGGCATAAAGAAGAAAAATAAAAAATGAATAAAGAAAATAAAAATAAAATAAAGAGAAAAAAGATTAGCATAAAAAGAATTAGAATGATTAGAGGAAAGAAAAGAGAAAAGCAATAAAGGAAATAAAAATAAAAGAAAGAAGAAAAAACAATTAAAGGAAAAAGGCGAAAATATTTAAGAAAACGAAAGACAAAAAGTATGACGAAAAGAATTGAAAAAGAAAAGAGAAAAAAAACAATGTTTATTGAAAAAAAGAAGAAAATGATTAAAGAAAAAATATAAATGAAAGAGGAAAATAATGAAAATAAAGAAGAAAAATTGTTAAAGGAAAGAAAAAATGAAAGAAAGAAGAAAATAATTAAAGGAAAAAAAGAAAAATTAATAAAAGAAAGAAAAATAAAAGAAAGAAAAACAAGGATTAATAGAAAGATGAGGAAAATAATTAAAGGAAAGAAAAAGCAAAAAGGAATCAAGGAATGAAAATAAAAGAAAGAAAAAAACGAATAAAGGAAAAAAGAAAAAATGATTAAGATAAAGAAAAAGAAACATAAATAAAATAAAAATAAAATAAAAAAGAACAACGAGTAATGGAAAGAAGAAGAAAATGAATAAAAGAAAGAAAAACCAAAAAGAGCAACAAAAAACAAAATAAAAGAAAGTAGGAAAAAAACGATTAATAGAAAAAAGAAAAGTTATTAAATGAAAAAAAATAAAAGACGAAAAAATTATTACAGGAAAAAAAAACTGTTAAAGGAAAGAAGAATGAAAGGAAATAAAAATAAGTGAAAGAAGAAGAAAAATGATGAAAGAAAGGAATAAGAAAAATGGTGAAAGGAAAGAAGAAAAATGATGAAAGGGAAGAAGAAGAAAATGATGAAAGAAAAGAATAAGAAAAATGATGAAAAAGAAGAAGAAAAAGGATGAAAGGGAGGAAGAAAAATGATAAAAGGAAAGAAGAAAAATGATGAAAGGGAAGACAGAAAAATGATGAAAGAAAAGAAGAAAAATGATGAAAGGGAAGAAGAAAAACGATGAAAGAAAAGAAGAAAAATGATGAAAGGGAAGAAGAAGAAAATGATGAAAGGAAGGAATAAGAAAAATGATGAAAAAAGAAAAATGATGAAAAAGAAGAAAAACGGATAAAAGGGGGGAAGAAAAAATGATGAAAGGGAAGAGAGAAAAATGATGAAAGGAAAGAAGAAAAACGATGAAAGGAAAGAAAAAAAATGATGAAAGGGAAGAAGAAAAAAATGATTAAAAGAAAGAAGAAAAACGATGAAAGAAAAGAAAAAGAATGATGAAAAAAATGAAGAAGAGAAATGATGAAAGAAAGGGATAAGAAAAATGATGAAAGGAAGGAAGAAAAATGATGAAAGGGAAAATGAAAAGAAAGAAGAAAAAAATGAAAATAAATTAAGTATGAATAAGAGGAAGAAAAAGTAGAAGAATGAATAATATTCGATGAAAGAGCAACAAGAAAAAAATTGTCATTGCCGAAGCGCGTTATTCATCGCCCAACAGTTTTCATAATAAATTGTTTGATATTCGTAAAGATTCGTATCGCTGAATGTCGATGGATAAAATTCAATAATACATATTTACTTCGTAAGCACTTTCATGTCAGACACTATTTTACCAGATTGCCATTCAGTTATCTGTAACAAGACAAAAATGATGGCGGGACATTTCACCTTGTATTGTCACAGCACCTCTGATTACTTCAAGATCGATCCTCTTGATACAGGTTAAATAATTTTACAAACTTTGGTGAAAGTAAAAAGTCAATATAAACACATGCCCCAA